TACCCACGTTGATGTGACTGTCAAGAAAGTACAACACCTCTACTTTTTCAGGAGGCTAAGGAAATTCAGCACGTCCACAAAGACTCTTCCCAGTTTTTATAGATGCACCATAGAAAGCATCCCATCTGGATGCATCACAGCTTGGTATGGCAACTGCTCTTCCCAAGACCACAAGAAACTACAGAGAGTCATGAACACAGCCCAGTCCATCACACAAACCAGCCTGCCATCCATTGACTCCATCTGTACATCCAGCTGCCTCAGGAAAGCAATCAGCATAATCAAAGACCCCTCCCACCTCAGTTGTACTGTCTTTCACCCTCTTCCATTGGGCAGATGATACAAAAGTTTCCAAACACATACGAACAGATTTAAGAAAAGCTTCTTCCTTGCTGTTATCAGACATTTTAACAGACCTCTCAAATGTTAATGTTGATCTCTCTCCGCGGCTGTAACACTGCACCCTGCACTCTGTCCTGCTACCCTGATGCACTTTGTATGGCATGATCTACCTGTACAGCATGCAAAACAACACTTTTCCCTGTATCTCAGTACATGTGACAACAATAAATCAAACTCAACTCAAATCAAATCAAACCCCTACACAGGGAGCCCAACACACCTGAAGATCAGGTGTTAAATTCTCCAACAGGAGCAGCTATTCTTCCACTCTGCAATGCTGTACCTTCATCCCAGGGAGTGGTGCGCTCTCAGAGAATCATTTGGTAAAGAGGCTCCTGCCTGAGATTCATAGCCTAAGTGAATGAGGGAACTCTCACAGAACATAAATCCATGTAGCTGCAGAATACCCGAGGCTCAGCACTAGTAGGGTTTAGGATGACGTAGATGTCATTCCAAAGAAGCAGTGAGTTGAATCCTACACTCATCATATGCACACTGTAACACTGGCAAAGGCAGCCCCGTTACAGAGTGTGGGAGGTGGGGGTGAGCTGCCTCCTTGAATCACTGCAGTCTATGTGCCGTAGGTAGACCCACAATGTTCTTGGGGAGGGAATTCCAGGATTGTGACCCAGTGACACTGAACAAACAGCGATATATCTTCAAGTCAGGATCCGCAGCAGATAATTTGATGTCGTACATCTCCTAGATAAGGGACACCAACCCCAGCTCGTTAAATTGTCCTTAGACTGAAGATCCTGAGTTCAGCTTCATCACAAAACTGAAGAGTTAGTGTGTATGGGAACTTTATCACAGTGTGTGTGTGGGAGCCCGCACCCCAGTGAGAGTCAGTGTGCATGGGGGATCTTGTACCC